ACATAGCAACGGTACTTGATAACAGACGGTAAACATGCATAAGAAAGAACACCACTGTTACCAGCATGTACTACTACTATCAAGCATAACATGTGACAATAATACTAGCAAGTAGTACAAGATAACAAGATGCATTGAACATAGCATGAAGGTGAACATGAAACCGCAAGCATAACCGAAACAACAACAATAGTAGCAAACAAGCAGACAGATGATGTGGTAATGCTTTGTTCTGGTTCTGTATTAAAAGGAGGCCTTAATATCCCTTAGTTTCCTTGTGGACCCCGCTGCCACGAGAGGATAGGAGAAAAGATGTCATGCAAGTTCTTATTATAAGCACACATGACTATATACGGAATACATGCCTACATTACATTGATGAATTGGAGATAGTTCTGTGTCACCCTAGGTTATGACTGTTACATGATGAATATTATCCAACGATGTCACCGATTCAATGCCTACGAGCTTTTCACATATTGTTTCTTGTTAAGTTACTACTTTTGCTACTGCTGACACAATTGCTACAAAACTATTTCTGTTACCGTTACTGCTACTGCTACTATTACTGCTATCACTATCAAATTACCATACTACTGTGCTACTGATCACTCTACTGCAGATATTTAGACTCTAGGTGTGGTTGAATTGATAACTCAACTGCTAATACTTGCAAATATTCTTTGGCTCCCCTTCTGTCGAATCAATAAATTTGAGTTGAATACTCTCCCTCGAAAACTGTTGCAATCCCCTATACTTGTGGGTTATCACACCGCTCCCCTTCTCCTCCTTCCACCAATTTCTCCACTCTTTCGATGGCATCCGACGAGCAGGAAGAGCAGTTCTCCGGCATAAAAGCCGGTTGGGTGGCCTGTCAAGCCGACCGGATATGAGCGTGGAAGCTCACTGCTCCACCTCCCCTCGCCTAGCCTGACGAAGCCAGTTGCCGCCCAAGCTGGCATGGCGGGGAGCACGGCGACACGGGCATCGCCGCTGTCGTCGATGAGACCACATCGTCCCGTGCCCCCCGTGCTTGTGGTCGTGCCTACCGTGCGTGCACCCGCGCCTCCCGTGCGTGCGACCGCGCCTCCCGCGCATGCGGCTGCACCATCCATGCAGAGACAAGAGACGAGGTGCGTGGAGATCGACGTGTCATTGGCCAGCGTGCCCGCGTCCACCGCCATCATCGAGGAGAAGTAAAACACGGGAGGCCGCCACCGCTTGGGTCCCATGAAGGCCACCGCTGAGGCGACGCTGACATACATAGTCAAGGTCTTGCTGGGTTTTTCTTCAGTGCAGACCATCGTCGACCCCGCATGGGCTTCACAAAAGCGGAGGCGCCCCCTTCCCCTCCCGCCGAAGCATCAGCCAGGGGTTTCACTCCGATGAGTGGTGGGGAAGCGAGCTGTCCTTTGCGCTGAAGCATATATCTCCGGGGCTCCCGGCAGTCCGATGATCGGGTTGCCGGACATGAGGAAGACAAAGGGATTTGTGGGCGACCATTTAGATTAGGTATTAATTATACCTCCAGAGCTGAACTAACACCACTTAATTGATGTAAATGTAATGAATTATGTCATGTTTATATAAAATCTGGCCATGTTTGCACAAATTTCGGCCGGTTGGTTCGAGTTGTTGTCAAAATGTATGCGTCTACAGTTGGATGGCGTCCTCCCGCATCCGTGACCGCGGACTGGCCCCCCTGCCCGTGGACGGATCGGGAGGAAATTTGCGGGTCATCGTTGGAGATGCCCTAAGCATCACTAGCTCAGCCGGTAATTCTGTGTGATTTCTCACATGAGGTCCTATGTTCGATCCTGGCGAGGTCGACTTATTCTTTTGAGCTACAGTATATGTACTCGTTGCCGATCGTTTCCTTCATGGGTTGGCCAAGGCAGAGACCCACCTATGGGGCATATAGGAGGTCCCAACTTCCGCCTTGCTGAACGCCTCGCAGTCGAGCAAGTGTATGGGCCGGCCCATTATGCGGGATGCCAATGGCTAATTTTTGTTTCAATTTTTTACCTTTTTTTGATTTCTTTGTTTACTTCTATTTACACTTCTAAATATTCTAAAGATATAGTATATTACAAATATATACTTTACATAATGTTTTGAGAAATGTTAATCATGTATTTGAAAAATGTTAAACGTGTATATAATTTTTTTGGCCATGTATTAAAAAAATGATGAATTTTTTATAATGTAATTGAAGAGAATCTTGTCCAACATCATCTGAAATGGATTAGACATATTCAGTGGAGGCCTCCAGAAGCGCCAGTGCATAGCGGATAGCTAAATCGTGGTGATAATGTCAAGAGAGGTCGGGTAGACCGAACTTGACATGGGATGAGTTTGTAAAGAGATATCTGAAGGACTGTAGTATCACCAAAAAACTAGCCATGCACAGGGATACGTGAAAGCTAGATATCCATGTGTTAGAACAATTAGTAGGTTCCCAGATCTTATGGGTTTCACCTCTAGCCTACCCCAACTGTTTTGAGACTAAATGCTTTGTTGTTGTATAAAAATGTTAATCAAGTATTTCAAAAAAATGTTGAAGAAGTATTTAAAAAATGTTAATCAAGCATATGAAAGATGTCAAACGTGTATTGAGAAAATGTTGACCATATATGAACAAGTATTTTTTTTAAATATTGTACAAATATTTGAAAAAATATTAATCAAGCATTTGAAAAATCTTAAACAAGTATTTGAAAAATGTTAATCAAGCATTTTAAAATATATTAAACATGTACAGAAAAAATGTTGATCATGTGTAGAAACATGTTAATACTGTACTTCAAAAATGTTAATCAAGAATTTAAAAATGTTTAAAAGTGTGTATAGAAAATTATTGACCATGTATTCAGAAAATATTAATTTTATATTTTAAAAAGTTAATCAAGCATTTAAAAAGTATGTATAGAATAAATGTTGATCATGTATTAAAATATTAAATTTGTATTGAAAAATGTCAAATGTGTATTAGAAAAATATCTTGACATATACGAAAATGTAGAGTGAAAATAAAAATAAACATAAGAGTAAACAAAAGAAAAAAATGGAGAATAAAAAAACAAAACTGAGAAGGAAAAAGAGAACAAAACAAAAAAACCTATGAGAAAACAAAACAAAAACAGAAAATGAACCGTAAAAAACAATGAAAAGACTGACTTTCTTCACCTCAAGTACACAACGCGCCTAGTTACTTTTTTTTGAAACCACACACATTACATTAACCAAATAATTGAATACAAAATACACACGGATGCGGAATCTTTCAGAGAGACCAGGATAGAACATGTGTCCTGGAGATTATGCAGAAAGAAACCCAAGAAAAAGAATACTGCAATTGAGTTCTTAGGGTCCCCTACAGATAACCAACACAGAAAATGCCATCGACCGTCGGCGTCGCTGTCAGACTCGTCGGAAGAAGATGCAGACTTCTACAATCCCACGATCCAGGCCAACGCCATAGCCATGAAGGCATTGAGAGCCGATGACCGGGCCTGTAGAACAGGCGCTTGACGATGTGGCACGTCAGCCGGGGAATGCCCCCGCGTTGTCAAGGATCTGGATCTGCCACTCGCCGCCAACGATGACGAAGAGGAAAGCCAAATCCGCTCCCACCAAACCTCCATCTGTGCTCCAAGAACACGACATACTTACCACTGCAGGTGTCGTAGGCAGAAGCATCCCAGCACAAACAGGCACATAAAGCTCAACGCTCCGAACGAACGAGGAGCACACGAGACCATCGGCTCCTCAACGCCGTCGTGCAGAGCGTCGCCGTGGTGAGGGAGAATCCGAGGCCAGATTATTCGACGCGGCGCTGCCCTCACCGCAGCAGCGCCTCCACTCAAAGACCTATCCATAATCTATGGACCTCTAGGAAGAGCAACGGGAGCCCACCCCCCCTCCTCCAACCGCCGGAGCAGTGGACAGAGGGGGGCGGAGGCCGTCGACTTGCCGGAGATCACAAGCAGGAAACTGTCACCTCTCTCAGGAAGGAGGCAGTTGCGCTAGCGGGGACCGCGCCTAGTTACTTTTTTTCTTTTGAGGATCACGCCTAGTTACTTATCACGTGCAAGACACGGGTGCAGCGGCTCAACCAATTTTTATCCACTGCTTCCCCAATTTTTATTGTTTAACTGTTCGCAAAAATGGGCCGGCCCAATTACTGTACATCCTTCAGCGAAAGTTGCTACGGTCTGCTTAATGCGAGGAATAGTCGTCGTGGTAGTTCAGTTTGTCTTGCTCAGTCGACAGGCCAGAGCCGCGCCGGCGCCGCCAGTCCCATTGCTCACCTCCGTTCCCGCTGCGCAGACTCCCCCTCATCCCTCCTACGTCTCCGCGTTAGCGCCCTCCAGAAGAAAGCATCCTCTCTCTCTCTCTCTCTCGCTGTGCGCCTGTGCCAGACAGAGAGAACTAATCCAGTACGCGCCGCCGCCTACGCACCCGCGTACTCTCAGCCGCCGCCGCTCGGCCGTCGCGCCGCCCCTGCCTCCTCTCCGGCACTGCGCCACCGCGGCCGCCTGCTGATCGTTCAAGTCGACGCTTTCCCCACCGTATCGTCGCTAGGCTGCTATCAACGGTGATTTCCCCAGGACCACAATCCCAACGAGTCTCATTGTCTCGTTGATTTTCTCCGATTTCCTGTTTTTATAGTTATAGCAATAAGCTTGAACCCTTGAATGTATGTATTTTCTTGTCAATTCATATTATAGAAGTAAATGATGAAGAGATCAAATAAACTGTTATTGTTTTTGCCATGTTCTATCTATTTTGTTGGATCATTAGGCAGAGTTCAAATCGTATAACTGTTGAGTAATCGAAGGGTACTTTTTTTTTTGCAATGGTATGGGTACTTTTTTTTTTGCAATGTATAAGCGCTTATTTTTGGGCATGTGGATTGCTCGAATCCTGGCCATGCCACTCCGGTATCCCTCACGCTGTATGTGACGTTTCTGTCAATTTGCTTTAATTGCAGTTAGAGCATGGAGGATGATAGCAACGCGCTTATTCTTCCCTGCAAGAGGAAGAACAAAGTACAAGGGATAGGCAAGGTAATGCCAAATTTATTGGGGCCCTCTTTCTTGGGTTTCCTTCTCAACCAATGTTAGGATGTGACTATGGGAGTCCTATAACCACTGAATTGCCAGGATGGCAAGAAAAGCAAGAGCAAGGAAGACCCAAAGATGAGCAAGACTCAGCTAAAAAAAATGCAGAAATTGGAGGTGCGCCTCCTTACCTTGCCATTTGCCATGTAGTAGATCTTTTAAACTAGTTAGCTTTAGTTTTTATATCAGCATTAATGCCTGCCTAATTGTTCCCAGGAGGAAAAGCAAAAGAAGGCACTGCAAGCAAAAAGCATCGAATTTTTGCAGTATGCTCGTCTTAATTGGTTCTGTTTAGAATTGTGATATTTTCTATGATGGTTTTGTGTTTCCTCTAACGACTTTGTATGAAACTGTCCCTGCACAATAGGAAGCACATGATTGCTGATGATGTATTTTCACTGCTGGATACTACGTGCTCTATTGGAAAAGTACAGTAGATCTATCTGTGACATGTGGATTGGTTACTATGTCACTGCAAAGTTATTTCTCTCATGATATTTTTATACTACAGGCTGCGACTATGAAAGAAAAATTTAGGCGTGCCGCGCAGTTCTCCAAGCATGGTTTAGATGTTCCTGAAGAACTTTCACTATTCAAGAAAAACTGTGGTCGGAAAGGAGTTCCTGGAGACAATGAAGCTGTGCCAGAAGTTTCCCCGGTGAAGTTTATTAAGGCAGCAAAACTTGATCATCCTGGCAGTGAACGAAAGAATCATGAGAAAGATTCGATGAAACCTATGATGGATCTTGGCGTGAGCATTCTGGAACAAAAAACTGAAGGGACTAATGACGATGCTGGCATTTCGGTACGCCAGATCATTCTGGGACAAAAAACTGAGGAGACTAATGATGATGCTGACATTTTGGCACATCAGCCGATTCAGTCATCCGTGCAAAATTGCTCTGCCGCAGAGATAGATTTGCAGGTAATTGGTCCATATCTCAACTATCTTCGGCATCTCAACTATTTTTGACTCATTAACTATCTAACTGATCTAAAGGCATTCTAGATTTGCCTATTTTGTAAGTGGCCGGGAATAAGAAGCTGGTGTCATGTTCTGTGTTAATTCAGTCATTATCCTTTTGTTAGGATAAAGAGCTACAACAAAGTGAAACTGCTTTACAAGAATGCTTCAATCCTCCAATTGTGGTGCCTGTCTCAAGACCACAGGAGGTTGAGAAGGCGAGGAGGGATCTCCCAATAATAATGATGGAGCAGGAAATAATGGAAGCTATCTACGAAAATTCTGTGGTAATTCTATGTGGAGAAACAGGCTGTGGTAAAACTACTCAGGTCCCTCAGGTGAGTGTGCCCACACATGGTTTCTCTTAAACATTGGTTTAAACTAGGAGTTCTGATCCTATCTGCTTGTGTTAAGTAGCTGCCAACTTTTTCATTGCTCTTTAAGCTATCTGTGTTCTGCAGTTCTTATATGAAGCCGGCTTTGGCACAAGCAATCGAGCTGGTAGAAAAGGGATGATTGGTATCACCCAACCACGACGTGTTGCTGTTCTTGCCACATCCAAGAGGGTGTCTTATGAGTTAGGACTTAAGCTAGGAAAGGAGGTCGGTTTTCAAGTTAGGCATGATAAAGAAGTTGGAAGTAAATGCTCCATCAAGTTTATGACAGATGGCATTTTGCTGCGAGAGATCCAGGTTTTGTATACGTTTACTTTTCCTGGTTACTCCTACCAGTCTATTTTGTTCAATTGTTCAACTTTGAGTTAAAAGTTTCTTCTTGTAATGTACTGATAACTCGTTCTAAAAAAGATGAACCATGACCATAAATGCAACAAAATGGTATATCTGACACTTTTACGGCCATAACAGCAGATGACTCAAATTTATAAATAATTACAATGAGGTTTAAACTTGCCTTTAGTGGTTTAGTCTGTCTCTCGGTTAGTCGTCTAATTGTATCATTATACAGTCAGTTGTCTACCTGTAATTGTATAATTTACAGATTTTATCTATGCATCAAGTGATTTGTTCTTCTGAAATGCATGTGTTTTTTTAATTGAAGCTCCTGTTCAAAAAAATATATTTGAAGCTGTGTCTTACTCCCTCCGTTCCTAAATATTTGTCTTCTTAGAGATTTCAAATGGACTACCACATACGGATGTATGTAGACATATTTTAGAGTGTAGATTCACCTATTTTACTTCGTATATAGTCACTTGTTCAAATCTCTAGAAAGACAAATATTTAGGAACGGAGGGAGTACATAACAAGATTGAAACTCCTTATCACACGACTTACTGATCTTTTACAGAGTGACATTCTGTTGAAGCACTATTCCGTGATCATCTTGGATGAGGCACATGAAAGGAGTTTGAACACAGATATACTTATTGGGATGCTTTGTAGAATTACAAAGCTTCGCAAGGTTAGAATCTCAAGAGCTTACCCCATTTTCCTTTTGATTAAAGCCAAAACGTGCAGGCATGGCTAACTTCTGTGCATGTCAAAGGATACATACGCAGATCAACAGAAAAAAATACGCTCTGGAAAGAACATTAAGCCAGAAGATATGATTAGTCAGCTGAAAGTGGTGCTGATGAGTGCTACCTTGCAGTTAAAGGAATTTATTTCAAACAGAAGATTGTTTGATGTGATTCCACCAACTGTAGAGGTACCTGCACGGCAATTTCCAGTAACAATTCACTTCACGAAGAGGACACATGATGATTATTTAGCACAGGCTTATAAAAAGGTTCTGTCAATCCACAAGAGTCTACCACCAGGTGGAATCCTTGTATTTGTTACTGGACAACGAGAAGTTGATTATTTATGTAAGAAACTGCAAAGAGCATCCAAACGGCAAATTGGTAAGAAGCCTGAAAGGGTTGGAGATGAGTGTGGTTCAAGACCAGAAATAGATGAGAAGGAAATTTTTGAAGCATATGATATTGATAGAACTGAAGCTGAGCACCAAGAGGACATGTTTTCCTCATATGGTCAAGATGAAATGGATGATGGACTAAATGTTGATTCTTCTGATGCTGAAACAGAGAGTGAGACTGATACTGACAGCGATGAGGATTCCGCTGCACATGAAACCACAGAAGATGGACCAGTGTTATCATTTTTGAAACATGCTGAGAGTTTATCTGTACTGAAGGCATCCTTTAAAGGTATATCAGGGATATCAGGAGAATCGGAAGCTGCTGAGGAATCGAGCAATGTGACAATTGCGGAAAAGTCAAACCCTTTTAATCCTTCTTTCAGTAAACTTACAGAACCTACATCTGTTTCACACCGTAGGCTTCGTGTTTTACCACTTTATGCAATGCAACCAGCTTCGCAGCAGCTTAGAGTGTTCCGCGATATTCCTGAAGGGGAAAGATTAGTTGTTGTGGCAACTAATGTTGCAGAAACCTCTTTAACAATTCCTGGTATAACATATGTGGTCGATACTGGAAAAGAAAAGGTTAAGAACTATGATCATGCTACGGGGATGGCAAGTTATGAAGTCCAGTGGATAAGCAAGGCGTCAGCATCCCAACGTGCTGGGAGAGCTGGAAGAACTGGGCCTGGGCACTGTTACCGTCTCTACTCAGGTGCAGCATATGGTAAAGATGGTTTATTTCCTGAGTTCTCTGAGCCAGAGATCAAGAAAATGCCAGTTGATAGCCTTGTGCTTATGCTCAAGTTTATGAAAATTGATAAGGTAATGCGCTTAAAACTTATTTATCTTTTTTAATCATCTTTTATGATGTGTTGCCTTTTGTTCTAATTTTCGTGCAAATATGATAATTGCAGGTTGAAAACTTTCCTTTCCCTACGCCTCCTAACGATGAAAGTTTGGTTGAAGCTAAGCGTTGCTTGAAGACATTAGAAGCACTTGACAGCAAAGAAAAACTTACATCAATGGGAAAGGCTATGGCGCAATACCCCATGAGCCCACGACATTCGCGTCTTCTTCTGACAATAATTAAAATTTTGAAGAGCCAGCAAGGCTATGCCAGATCTAACTTCATACTGGGATATGCAACTGCTGCTGCATCAGCTTTGAGTTATGCAAATCCTTTTCTCATTCAGGTAGACACTAGTAGAGAATCAAACCAGGATGGCCCTGATCCAGAACGTAAGGATCAAGATGAAAGAAAGAGACAGAAGAAGCTCAAGGCCATGGTTCGAGAGGCACGCAAAGATTTTTCCATCCCTAGTAGTGATGCTTTAACCATTTCCCATGCTTTGCGGTCATTTGAGTGTTCAAGGAACCCAGTGGAATTCTGCAGAGAATACTCACTTCACCTCAAAACAATGGAAGAGATGTCAAAATTGAGAAAGCAGCTTCTTCGATTAATATTTCACAATAGCAAATTTTGTGATGAATTTGCTTGGAATTATGGAGGTTCTGAGGATGTTGAACAGGCCTGGAGGAGTGAAACCGACAAAAAACCAATGCTGAATGAAGAGGAACTTCTGGGGCAAGGAATATGTGCTGGGTGGGCCGATAGGGTTGCAAAGAAGATTAACACTTTTTCTGGATTGTCGAAAGAGGACCGAAAGGTTCGAGCTGGACGTTATCAATCTTGCATCCTCGATGATACAATATATCTCCACCGATCATCTTCTGTTGCCCAAACTCCACCAGAGTTTGTAGTTTACTCGGAACTACTAAATACAAAGAGATCGTACATGCATGGTGTGACCAGTGTAAAGCCTGGATGGCTTTTCAAATATGCTAGTTCTCTCTGCACCTTCTCAGCGCCACTGGAAGATCCAAAACCCTATTACGAGCCTCAGAATGACCAGGTGTACTGTTATGTTAGTCCCATCTTTTCTAGACATAATTGGCAGCTTCCGCTGCACAGTTTACCCATCGAAGACCCCACCAGGCGGTTGCAGGTATTTGCATGGGCTTTGCTGAAAGGGGATGTCTTGCCATGTCTAAGGATGGTTCAAAAGTTCCTGGCTCTGTCACCATCTGCTGTCCTTGGGCCTGCCAGCCAAAGAAGAGTTGGAGATCTTCTTAACAGGATGAAGATTGGTGGAAAATTAAAAGACAGCCGGAGAGCATTAAGAGATGCATGGAGTAGTGATCCAGATTTTCTTTATCCTGAGATTCAGGCATGGATACAGGATAAATATCAGAGCCAGTTTGAAGCAATATGGGAACAAATGCACCAAGAAGTTCGGCTTGAGGGACACCAACTTTTCCCAAAGAGGTTCAAGAAAGTTGAGGGGTAGTCGGTTCAAATAGAAGACTGCTGGAAGCTTATTTGTCATGGAACACATCTTTCATGAGGTAACCTCCGCAAATCACTGGTCTAACGTTGCCCTCTACTTCCATGAAGTAGGTGTGAAGTAACAATGCAATGTTCTTGATACTAAACAGTAGTTGAGATAGCTCATCATGAATGAAAAGTATAACAATTAGTGGATATATATGCCGTTGAACCAGTAAAACTAGGGCTGTAGCTAGTGCAGATGATAGTCTTTGATGTAAACTGAATTTGTTCGTTTCATTGCCACCATGCTGATGTACGTAGTTGTTTTTGCCCCAGCCATTGTTCTTTTTGTTTAATCATCGTACATATTTCGCATCTTTTCTGATCATTCAATTTTATTGCTTTATTCTTCTCTAGCAGAGCATCCACATAAGTTCGGAACTGTTTGCTTAAAACCTGGAAAGCTTGAGAAATACTCCCTCCGTTCCAAATTAGTTGACTTGAATTTGTCTAAATACAAATGTATCTATATTTGTTTAGTGTCTAGATACATCCATGTCTAGATAAATATGGGTCAAGTAATTTGGAACTGAGGGAGTAGACTACGCCCACTGATGTGCAGTTGTGGGCCCATGAGATATTTGACCAAAATAGGGTTTGCTGCAAACAACAGAAAGCAGTCATCAGTTCAGTTAGATAAGGATAGAATGAAATCTTTGATGGCTTATTTATTATCGATAGTGCACCGGGAGAAGGTTATAGCATTCATTTGGGTGGTGTTATGTACTCCCTCGGTTTTGAATTAGTTGACATAAATTTGTCTACATAGTATGTATTTAGATGTGTTTTAATATGTAGATATATCCGTATCTATACAAATCCGTGTCAACTTTTCGGAACGAAGAGAGTATGTGTCTTGCTTCTTGTAAAGTTGATAATTTTTCTCAAGACAGATATGGCACCGCAAGGTATGGGTACAGGTCGAGCTATCACATACCCTTATCCGTCTACCTTAAACTTATTCATCATCCAACAGGGTAAAGGATACCCATTAGCAAAAATATTCACGTTTATAACGCATAAATTGAGTAAAAAATAGTCGTACAAACAATAGATAACACATCCGGAAGAGATTGATTTGCTGTTTTGTTCTATCAGTGGTTGAGAAGTGATCACATGAATCAAATAGACTAGATACGGTGTTAGGGCATCTTGAAGGCGGATTCATAAACCTCCCATAATCGTTCGGACCGTGTTGTTCAGACCGTGGAGGTCATCTAATGCCGACCTATATTGATCTGTGAAGCGGTCCGAACGCGATTTTTCTCGTAAACTGGAGACAAAAATGGAGAAGGTTTGCTGGAGTCCGAACCGCTCTCAAGCCCGCTTCTGATCGTCCCAACCCACCAAAAAAACCTCCCCTCCCGCGCGTGCTTCCGCTCGACGCCAATTGCCCGCATTCATGCCGCTGTTGAGCGCGCCGCTCCGCATTGAAGACGGCTCAAGTCAGACGTGACCTCTCACTGCCTCCGCCATTGAAGCGGCACGCCGGCCAAGGGCGTCGCCCACTGCACGCTCGGCTGAACACGCCTCCTCGCCGCATTCATACACCTCCATTAACCCCGCGTGGAAGCCAACCTACTTCGGCCACACGTCCGTTCATGAGCTGGCCGACATTAAACGCAACGCCGGCCGAACTCCTACCGTCCGCCCTCTATTTAAACGAGGCCAGATGCCGGGCAAGAACCACGCCACTCCGTCGCTCCCCAAATCTCCTCCTTCGCCACTCTTTCGATGGCTTCCGAAGAGCAGTTTCCCCTCTATTTAAACGAGGTCAGATGCCGGGCAAGAACCACCTTCGCCACTCTTCCGATGGCTTCCGAAGAGCAGTTTTCTGGCATACAAGCCGTCCGGGTGCCCACCGAGCCCGCCGGATACGAGTGAGGCATCTCGCTGCTCCACCTCCAGCGCCTGACCCGACGGAGTAAGTTGCCGCCCCAAGCCGTCGCGTGGTTCAGCAACTTGCCGCTCCAGGCCCACTTGATGAGGAGTGGCGAGTTGCTCCATGTCGGCGCGATGGAGAGCAGCACGGCACGGGCGTCATCGTTGTCGTCGATGACCACGCCTCGCGTGTCTGCGGTCGCGCCTCCCGTGCGTGTGACCGCGCCTCTCATGCATGCGACCGCGCCTCCCGTGCCTGCGATCGGGCCATGCAGGCAAAGGCAGAAACCGGGTGCATGGAGAGCGACGAGTCGGTGGCCCGCGGCTCCGCGTCTGCCGCCATCATCAAGGAGAATTAGAGCACGGGAGTCCGTCACCGCTTGGGTTCCATGAAGGCCACCGCCTAGGTGACACTGGCGTACACAGCCAGTGTCTTGGCCGGTTCTTCTCTTTCGAGGAGCTCCATCGATCCCACATGGGCTTCACGGAAGCGGAGGCGCCGCCTTCCCCTCCCGCTGAAGCATCAACCGGGGGTTCCACTCCAATGAGTGATGGGGAAGCGAGCCGTCCTTTGCGCTGAAGCATATACCTCCAGGGCTCCTGACAATCCGGTGATCGGGCCGTCGGACATGAGGAAGACAAAGAAATCCGCGGATGACGATTTAGATTAGGTATTAATTATACCTTCAGAGCCGGACTAACACCGCTGATGTAAATGTACCGAAATCCGTCGTGTTTAAATGAAAATCCGCCTTTTTTATATGAAATCATCATGTTTATATGAAATCCGATCGTGTTTGTACGAATTTCGTCCGGTTGGTTTAACTTGTTGTAAAAATGATTATGCTGCTAGTGTTAGATGGCTGCCTTTCGTATCCATATCCGTGAACGGATGTGGGAGGTTTTTTGCGGGTTGACATAGATGCCCTTAGTGTTGTATTCACGGGGTGGGTCCTCCAACCCCGGCAGCTGAAGCGAGCGATCCATTACTAAATTATACGATATGTAGAAACTACGACCGTGACCTCATATGTATACGTCCTGCTCATGTGTCGGTACGTGGAAATTAGGTCTTACTTTCCAAATTTTAGACGGGTACATGCGTATAAAGGTGTGGGTTATATGATTCCACGTCCGTATCCTCTCTGCCCGATGGGTATAAAAGTATGGGTTATATAATCCCACATTCATAGCATTTAACATTTTTCAAAGACAAGTTTATTTTTTTAATACATGATCAATATTTTTACACATATTTAACATTTTTGAAATATATCAAAAAATTCTATACCCATTTAACATGTTTCAAATACAAGTTTAACATTTTTTGAACACTTGTTCAGCATTTTTCCAAATGCTTGGATTAACATCTTTTAAATACATGATCTACATTTTTCTATACACATTTCACGTTACACATGTTTGTATACATTTTCTGTATACATAAAATATTTTCTCTATACACATTAAACATTTTTTAAATGCTTGATTAATTTTTTTTGTAAATGTTTATTGTAAAATATTTTTTTAATATAGAATATCAAGAAATATGAACAAAGTAAAAGAAAAAACATAAAAAAACGAGAATACGGTTTGTGGCCTGTGGTCAGCGGCGGGATGGCCGGCCCAATATGAAGCTCGCGTTCAGCGAGATTTCATCACGTCTCGCTGTAGGTTTTAGTGGCTGGACTGATCCGGTTTTAATGGTTTTTTACTTTTTTTTCATGTGCTCTCTTTAGAGTTTTCAACTGTTTTGTTTTGTTTTTATTCATTTATTTTATTTTCTTTCCCTTAAGTGTATCTTCCTTATCTTTCTCATCGGTTTTCTTTGATTTTCATTTGTCCTTTATTTTTTTTATGTTTTTCTATATTGTTTTCTCTGGTTTTACAGGATTTTTTTGTGTGTTTTCTTTACGGTTTTCATTGGGTTTCGTTTGTTTTTCTTTCTTTCATTTTATGTATTTTTCCTATGTAGTTTTATTTTGGTTTCATTATTTTTTTATGTGTGATTTCTTTACGGTTTTCATTGGTTTCTCTTTCTTTCTTGCTTACTTACTTTGTGTATGCTTTACATTATGGTTTTATTCGGTTTTCTTTGATTATCATTGGATTTTTTTTCTGCATTTCCCTCACACGATTGTTTGGATTTTTTTGGCTTTTTTATTTTCTTTATACATGTCAAGTTTCTTTAATACACACTGTACATTTTGATACACATGTGGAACATTTTGTTCATACAAGGTGAACAATTTTTCAAATACATGTTTTGAACAATTTTTTCGAATTCTTTTTTAACATTTTTTAAATAGATGCGGACCTTTTTTTTGAATGGTGCAAAACAGTTTTTTAAATTTACTTGAATTTTTTTCAGATACATGTGTTGATTTTTTTTTGTATTAATGCTAAGCATTTAAAAAACATGTTCAACAGTTTTTGAACATTACCATATGTTTTTTTCCTTTGTTGCTAATATAAGTCTTTTTAGATATTTAAATACGGACTAGATACAGTTGTATATAGACATATTTTAGAGTGCAGATTCACTCATTTTACTTTGTATGTAGCCCATATTGAAATATCTAAAAAAGACTTATATTTAGGAACAAAGGGAGTACATGACCATTTCTTACACTGGATCACATTTTTTTAAATCGCCATGAGCATTTTTATGGATGGTATGAAACATTTATTTTAGAACTAAGCGAACATTTTTTTTACAGTATAAATCTTTTTGTAGAATTTCATGAACATTCTTTTTGAACGCTATAAAAGAAAGGTAAACCACGTGAAGAATTTTTACATTGTATAAATATATTTTTTTACATTGCATAAATATTTTTTCTTGAATGGTACAAAACATGTTTTCTAAACTATCTGAATGTTTTCTTACATTGTATTAACAGTTTTTGAAAATGCCACAAACATGTTTTTGATATGTGGGACATCTTTTCGAAATCACGATTAGTTTTTGGATGAAATTGCAGTTTGACCTTATTGGCACCACAATTCCAATTCCTATACTCTGCCAACGGAGCCGAGCGAGATGGCTAAGGCCTAGTTGGGAGGGGGTCGACATTG